TATGCATTTACTCACAAGAGCAAAAAAAAAGTACTTAAGATATGTCCATCCTCAGAACCATTTATTATGGCAATCATCATCATCATCATCATCACTTTATGTAGTTGATCCAGAACTGAGTCATTGAAAGATTCTATGCTTTTAAGTCATACATAGTAAATTACCTTCTCTTATAGGCATGTTTAAAACTATTGTCTTTTACTGTAACCTTGGTCCTAAGATCCTATTTAATGTATTGCATTCTAATTGCTCTTCCTTTGTATCTTAATCTCAAATCAGATGTACCACATTTGTTAACATCTGTGACTATAAGTGCTACCCATTTTTAGAACATTCTGTGTGCTATTCTTGATAGTTTAATTAGAATAAATACCCTTTTTAATCCATGAAGTGGGGCATAGTATAATAACATTGATCTTTCATTTGACAGCAAATTTGTTTGATAACAGAACAGGGTTTAGTGTAACCAAATCAGCAACAGTAATTCAATTAAAAATAGTGTGTATACAGTACCTCTGCAAACAATGAACAGTGGGCTAAAATAATCAAGACATGAAAAGAGCCTGCACAGAAATCAGGATGTTGATGGAGAAAAATAATTCAAACTTATTTACAAGAGCTGCCAGTGAGATGCATGTGGGTATAAAAGCGTCTCTCTCTAAAAATGTGGTCACCCTGGGAAAAGAAGTCAATTAACAGTGTCTACCCAACAGGACTGCTCATTTTTTCCAGAACGATATTTTCTTAACCTAAATTCTGCAGACAGGACAGCCTTTGCCTTCTCCTGGGAGAAATGAACCAGCTTTTGCATTGGTCTCCCAGCAGCTTGGGAAGAAGACACCTCCCTCTCCATCCAAGGGCAGACATCATCTCAAGCAGCTCCTTCCCACCAGCCACGGTGGCAATGGCCCAGGATCTGACAGCAGCAGAGCCACTTTGGGCCACAGCTCACCTACACCCTTCTCCCATGACACTGAATAAAGCATCTAAAAACTCAGGTACAAGCACGAGGAGCAGCAGGAAGCTAGATACACTTTCCCCTCAATCCAAAAGAAGTTCTGAACCATCCAGACTAACTGAAGAGCTCAGCCAACCCAAGTTGCTGAGCTTCTGAATCAATACACGTCGTTGCTGTAGTAGGGATGTCACAGGCATTGAACAGGGCTTGAATGGAAGCACAGCAGTAGACAGGGCAGGTACTCTCTACCAGTAGGTAAATGGATATTATCCTTTTCCTTTCATCTATTTTTTCCCCTCCCTGTTTATCATCAGCATTCTTGGATCTTCAATTAGATTGTAAGCTCCTTGGGATGCAAACCAGGTCATTATTGTGTCTTCAAAAAGGGATCATCACAAGGGGCCAAAACTGTGTCAATGCTCTGGGAGCCTTTGGGCAAAATATTACTAAATTGCCCTTCAACTCCAACCCAAAATTATAGGCATGCTGCGTGCAGTATTTTGTAAGCCATTGTTTTGCAACATGGAAATATGCAAGTGAACATGATACTTGAACAACATAATTCATTTTCCATTCATGAGCCACAATGGGTATCTCATGGCACTGTTTGCTCTTCAGTTTCAAATGTGAACTTGCATACAAAGTCAAGTAAATGAGCTTTCTTTCACGTTGTTTTATTAAGTTCTTGGACTACACTCTAAGCCCTAGAAGAAGAAATTAAAGTTGCTGTTGTCTCACAAAAGCAGTGAAATTCCCAAAGAACTAAGGAATTTGGCTCTAGGTTGTGTATGAAAGTGGCTGTAAGTCCTCTGCTGCTTTTCTTATCCTTCCTTGTGCCAGCTCTGCATTTGCATTCAAAATTAAGTTTCACAGCAGCATTCCATAAAAACCCTCATCTTAACTTTTGGATGATACCCTTAATGACATTATTGGATTGAAAAGTTTAAAGATAGCTTTGTTTTAATTTCTCTTTAGCTTTTCACTCAAATACCCCATGTATGACATTATAATAATTCTTCTGCTGGGTTTATACCTGCAAACTCCTCTCCTATTCTTTTGTTCTTGGGCTAATCTTTCCTTTTATATTAATGAAGCCCTTTGAAGTATCTCTTCAAATCTTCAGCTAGATTCCTTTGTGACTCTTTTCCTCCCCCTAAACCTGATAGGGTCTTTTTATCATGAAAATTATTAATACTTCCCCCATTTCTGGCATTGTACTGTCAGCTTTAAATGTCCTATTATTATTTCTGATCTTAAGCTTCTTTCTCCTGACCCAGGAATATTGGCAAATTACCGACCTATAGCCAAGCTTTTATAGGGAAGGTCTTGCATCAAGTGGTAGCCTTTCAAGAGCTTAACCACCTAGTAATAATCTTTATGACAAATGGTCTCCAGGTTTGCAGTTATGCCTAGAGTGCTAAGAGTGTCCCTTAAAGTGGTCAATGGCTTTTTATAAAACCAAACCCTGAGTATCATGTCAGCTCTTACCCACCTCGCTATTAGCACACCTCGAGACACTGCAGATCACAGGAACCCTTTCTGACCAGAGGCCAGCTGATAAAACACAGGGGGCTTTGTTCAATCTGAAGACATCAACTTGCCACTCCGGAACATCATTCATCTGCATCGAGCAACATGCATCATTTTCTTGTAATCAATGCAGAGTCCACTGCTCCTGAGTGTTACTGCAGCTAATCATTAAGATAAATATAATTGTTAAGAGTACTGACACTCCTTTCAGCTGCTCCATGCAAAGCATTGATTTCTACACATACAGTTTGGCATTTTACTGTGAATCAGTCTTTTTTTTTTTCTATTTTCCTCTTTCTGTTTCTATTTTGTTTTAGGTCATCTCCTGCAATCAAAAGCATTCCTAAAATTTACTGCAAACTAGAAATCAAGAGTACTAGCCATGAAGCAAGATGAAATAAAATGTTCCTTAACAGGTTCTTAGGTTCTTTCCTGGTCACCCAGCTGAGTAGAAATTCTACAGGCAAACAAGTTTTCACCTCCCAACCAATTCATTGCTTTTAAAAATTGCCTCATCATAATCAGAGGTTTTGTCATGGCTTTCATCAGAAATACAAATCCAGAAACAAACACAGATGACAAGAACTGTGACAGATGCCTTTGTTTGATGCAGTGATCCTCCCTAGGTGGATAAAGAACCACAGTCAAGAGTGGTGAGTATTTTTTGACAAGCCTTATTTTGTTGAAATGGAAACACTGAGGGAGGAGGTGGCTGGTGAAACTTGTTCTCTTAATTAGAAAATCTTCAGCTAGTCCACAGACAATGACATCCTTCTGGTTTTCTCTAACCTGGTCTCTCTCAAATTATCAAAAAGATTTTTTTACCAAAAATGGAACAATCAAGCTTATAAAGTGACTTTTTAATGTTCAGTTATATTTATCCCCATTTGGTCTATTTCTATATCATAAAAGATGAGACAATTATCACACATGAATGGCAAACATTTGGTAAATGACCTGTTCAAATAGTCCTGTCCATCACCATAAGACAAATAGTCATATGCCCACCACCACCTTTGGCATATCCTCAGCATTCCCTAACACAAGTCAAGTCTTTCTGCTCTCAAAGTAACTCCTGATCTCATAAAAAAGAACAAATTAAAGGGCAGTCTGTAGACCTCTCGAGGCTTACACAAAGAAACTCAGGCAGATCCAAGAGTGGAAATCTGCCAGCTCCAGCAAAACCAACCTGAGTCAGCTGAAAGCTCCTAAGGGATGACCAACTGCCAGGTCAGGGTGCTGGTCACTCCATTGCTTCAGCCCCTGATCACTGAGACACATCACATGTGACAGCTCCATTTGCACACTCAACATTATTGTGAAAGTTCTGTCTTGAAGCTGGACGGGGGCTTCACAATGGAAATACATTTGAAAACAAACACACACACACACACACAAGTGGAATTTTGATGCTCCAAAGCTGAAATTGAATCATTAGATGAAAACACCAAAGGATCCAACACAAACCAACACTTGCTCCTGGCAAAAAGTTATTCATTGCTGAACTGGGTATTTGCCTCTAAGCTTGTATACAGTCAATGTTTCCAATGTTGATGAGGGAGGGGAACAAGCTGAATATTAAAAACTGCTGCCTCAAGAATAATATAATGTACAGATTTAATCATAGTAAAAAATGATCTGCAAGTAATTGTAGTCATTACTACATCTGCTCAGAGCTGTGGGTAATCATTATGTATGAGTGAATTAAATCAAATTTCATATCATGGGCCTGATCCTAAAATTTCTTCTGTAAATTCACCTTATATTAATAATCTCCCTGAGTGTAGAGAGTCTATTTGTTTGTATGGATACATTTCTTATATGAGTAATCTTGTGACCCTTCCACATTTTACCTTTAAATTTAATTAAAATTTAACCCCAAAAACTTAGGAAGGTAGACTAAAACGCAGATTTCCAAAGATGGGAAATGAATTTGTTTTGCTCTGTTCTTCTTTCTGTAAAGGCACTAAAGGGGGTAGAGAGAAAGAAGTTTCAGTGTGGAACCTGAGTAATGGAAAAGACAAAGCCTTCCAAGATAAAAAGTTGAGCTCAAATTCCTTTTGTCACTAAATCCAGGCATTGGCATGGTACTGAAAACACAGGTGTAATTTATTGCACAGAGTGGGAATGTCAAACCCTGACTCATGAATATAAGAACCTGTTTACAAAAAAAGCTGCTGAAGGGCAGAGCTGGAGCCAAACTCAACCTTGATCAATAGCCAGATGAATTATTAGTAAAAGAAATAAATGATTGGTGTAGTTTCTTCTCTGACACTTATGCCAAATGTTAGAGGCTGCACTTTAGTATATTGTCGTGGAAATACATCCAAACCAGAAAGTTTTTACTCCAGTAGTCTTGTGCTGACCTCTGCATGTGTTTGAAATGAGGAGTAAGAGCTGAGGTCTCAGACTTACCCATTGTGGAAATGACAAGTTTTCACCTTCCTAAGAGTGCCAGGCAGGCATCGTGCTCTTCAAAAGATGGAGGAGAGAAATCAAACTAGGTCTGAATTCTTCCTCTCGTGCCTGTGCTGAGGTCACAAGAAAATATGTTATAAACGGAGTTTAGGTGACATTTTCAATAAATGTCTTTCTCATGGTGCATATTCTAGCAAAAACAGTCTGGAGGGCAGCTGGTGCAAGGAGAGACTACAGTGGTCTGTACATCTCCCCATCACCCACAGCTAGACACATACACTCGCACTACTAACATAGGTAATACAGTAACACAAAGGATCATTTTTTCTCTCCTGAAACAGAAATGAGCTGGCAAGCATAATCAAACAATGAGAATCATTTTTCCAGAGAGGAGAGAGAACAACAACAACAAAAAAAAATCCAGTGAGAATTATGACAACAATGTAAGAATGCAATCAGTAGAGAAATCCTGATAAATGAGGTCCTTACATTTTTAAATGCCTTAAAACCAGTACAAATAAATATAAATTTAAACAGAATTCAATGCACAATTGAATTAGAAGGGGAAAATTCAACCAAAGTACTAAAATTCCACTATAGAACTTTCAAATAGTTTATCTAGATAAAGCTATAAAATGAATAAAACAGCAGCAAAAAGGATTGAACTTTTTCTGTCAGTAAGAAATCCAAATCAAGGATGAGAATATTATGAATGCTGCATAAAGAGCTCTGTAAAATATCCTCCAGTGGAGAGGAACTAATGATAGATGAATGTGCACATGTAATTGAACATGCAGAAAAGAAAACCAACATTCCAAGAAGGAAAGCAGAAAAGCTATCAGGAGTACTGGCTCATGTGAACATCCACAAGAATGAGATGCATACAAGGAGAAAAGGCAAATTACGGAAAATGCAGCCTGCTCTGTAAAATAAAATACATGTTTGGCTCTCCACATATTCTTCTTTAGATTATCAAGGGAGCATGTGTCACACACACAGTCGTGAGGAATGCTGGCAGGAACATTCAACCACATCAAACTTGCCCGGTTTTGGGTTTCATTACCTACGTCAGGCCCCACATTGTTCCCATGATGGGAAACTTCCCTTTGACATCATGGATCATGGATCATGACAGGATCAGGCCCTTGCCCAGCAAAGGGTTAAAAAATAAAGTGTAGCAAAATGCTTGAAGTGCACCTCAGCCCAAAAGCAAGCCACTCCAAAGAACTAATCCCTTTTGCATTCCGTACCATAGGAAATATGATTTTCCTACCTGTGTTTTGTGTTAAGTTGTTGGGTTCAGCTAAATCAAAATTCAAGCAAAGCAAACCCACAAAAACTTAAAATCAAATGAAATTTCACACTCCCCCTGCACACTGAAGCAGCCCTACATAAAGGTACTTTTAGCAGACAAAGTCAGTGAACCTTTTAAGAGTAAGCAGAAATAGAACACATTAGTAACAGACAAATTAGAAGTGCATCAAGGTACTGGATGAAAACATTTTTTGAACATAAGCCAAGTACACAGTAGGAACAGGTTAGAAGGTTAAATCCTTTCTAACCACAACTTAAAGAAGACTTCATAGTAAAAATATCCTTTTTTAACTCTTGTCTTCCAAGCACATATCACAACTTTTGTTTCCGTTGGTTTTAGTCCCTATTTCAAAAGAAGCATTTGCTGTAACAGCTCATTTTTTCATGCAAAATACTGAATCTAATTGCGGAAATATGTCATTCCCTCCTCTCCGCCACATGGCATGAGTTAATGATGATGAATGAAAGTAATAAAACCCAAATCTTTTTCAAACTAAAGCTCCTGTTAAATTACTGGAAATTATATGCATGCGTCTACAATGAGGACACTGCAGAAGGTCAAAGATCTTGCTTCCTGCATTTGGCCAAACTATTCAACAGGCAGCTTGGCTGAACCTGCACAGACACGTTTTTACTGAGGTCTGGGGGAGCCACCTAAGAAAAGCAGCTTAGTTCAAGGCTGGTGATTTCATTAGGGCATTTCTCCCCATCCCCATGGAACACTAAATTTTGTTCACCAGAGTCTATGACCTGCCTTACATGTCCATGGCAAGCTATTTTTGGATGTTCGTGACGAGTGTTTGGAAGAGTAATATATCACCTAACGTGATATACATTTTTAATGGAGGTCCCAATTTCCCTAATACAAAACTTTATTCTGTGGCATTGACATGAAGCAGAAGGAGTACAGCAAATTTAGAGCCATATGCTGTCCCTCTCATTCAGTCTGCATCACACCCAATTTCTCCAGTTGGTCCACTAAGACAGGTAAACCATTCAGAGATTAAGGTCTGTCATG